GCCGTGCTCGGTGCTCATCGTGTGTGGCCCGCGATGCGTACGATGCGTACGACTGTCGGTCGTCGTCTTCCTCGCGCCTTCAGTTGTGATGTGCGCGTCCACCATACCGCTGCCGATCGTCGCGGTAGTGATCTGCGCGCGATGCGCGTGTGCCGCGCGATCGGCGATCGTCCTCGCGCTCGGTCCCGGTGCTTGTCGCCGTGGACCTTGACCCGTGACGCCTCCTTGGCCGTGTGTTCATGCGCGTTAGTTGCCCAGCCAAGTCCTGGACCATTAGTTCGATCCTTCCCAAGTTCTCGTTGGTAGCATGTTGACCATCGCCGATGATCTTCATGTTGTCCTCCAAGGCTTGAATCCTCTCACGGTTTGACATCATAAATTTTTATTTTTTTTTTACTCTATAAAATTCGAAAATAATAGGGGAAAAATTCGAAAATTCGAACCCCCAACAAGACTCAAAAAAAAAATCGAACCAGAAAAAGAAATTCGGCCCCTCAACAAAAGGTAATAACCGAAACAAAAATCAAACAAAGGACTAGCAAGATGACACATTTTTTTTTTAATGAAAAATTCGAATAAATTCGAAAATTTCGACACAAAAAAGAAGAGAAATTCGGCCCCTCAGCAAAAGGCAAACCGAAAAAAAAGAAAAAGATAGGATAAATAAAAACACGATCAGCACCTCTCAATGAAAGCACCAATGATGAAGGACCGCTGATCGGTGTTGTTATTTATACGTTGGGTGTGAACAAACGGCGCACTCAGGGCCTTCGTTTATCCACGATAGGTGTATCTAGCAGATGCACTCAGGGCCTTCTTCTAGACACTGTGACTTCGAGACGCTCTCGGGGCCTTCTCTCCGACACTGTATGTAAACACGCACTGACGGCCTTGTTTATCACACGTTAGAACATAAAGTTCCCCTCAATTGGCTCACCAATTCAATACTCAATTCAAGACATCTAATTATGATGAGGTACATGGGGTATTTATAGTTACAAAATAAATCTAAGCCTAATAGATCAAGACATCTAATTATGATGAGGTACATGGCTCACCAACTCTAGAAAGCAATAAAATCCTAAAGCTACCAAATAACTATTGCTTGGCTTGCACACCAAGCAAATCTAGAATGCTCCTAACTAAAAACCTTCTCACGCCCAACTCTCGGCCGCCTTTCATCCCGCACGCGTCCCACGCGTATGCGCGCGCCGATCGTCCTTGTTGCCTAATCCTTGGCGCCTTAGGACTCGCGTGTCCGTATCGCACGCGCGCGCCTGCGCGCGCGCCCAGCGTTGCCGCCATTCCTCTTGCGCGTGCCTGCCAGTGCCCCTCTCCTATGCCTACCGCGCCTAGGCAAGCGCCCGCGCATACCGCCCACTCGCGCGCCCCCGCTCGCTTTGCGTTCCTTCCCGTGGCCTCGCGCGCGTCCCAACCGTCGCCCGTGCTCCGATC